AGGGTAGCCAAGACAATTTTGGGGCTTAGCTGTGTATTGGGGCTGGGCTTAGCAAGTTTGGCTTTGTTGATGAGCCTCCCCATTTGGGTTTGCATGGTCCTTGCCGTTCGGCAAGGACCCTGGAATATGTATTGATGGTTATTGTTGTGACCTTGGAGCTGGGCAGTATGAAATTTCGTGGAGCTGGGCTCGGGAGGCTGGGTGCCGTGATCAAAATTTTTGGTTTTTGTTTCGCTGTGCTCGTAGAGGCAGGTTCGGAGCTGGGCCACCTTGGATTTTTTGGCAAGAAGTGAGAGCCTAGAGCTGGACCTTCGGTAGGTGTCCAAAAGGGTTTGGCCAATATTGGAGCTTCCAAAAGGGTTTGGCCAATATTGGAAGCACCGCTTCGGCAAGGAGTTTGGCCTTGAAACCGTGAGCTGGGCCTTTGGAGCTTGGCCTTGAGTCAAGCCTTGGGGCCGGGCCATTGTGGCTGGGGCTTCGGCAAGTCTTTGGGTGCCCTGAGAAATTTTCCAAGTGTCCTTGGGTGCGCCCTTAAATGCCGTTGAATTTGAGGCTGCTTCCCATTGGGTGTTTTGATAAGTTTAGTGGCTGGGTGCCGTTTGGCTCGGCCATCTAAATTGCTCCAGGCTTTCAGCTAGTTGTCATGTCGGCTTCTCATTAGATTGAAATGGTGGTTGGCCTCCTTAGCCCTGCAAAGTGATGCTGTCGGTGACTTGGAATATTTGGCACTTGCCAAATTGGAGCATCTTCAAAGTGGCCCGGACAGCTTTTACTCATATGCAATATTCATGAACCATATTGTTGAATAGGATTGTGCAATAAATTATTTAAATATTACATGCTCGTATGCAATATTTATATGTAAGAAGAGAAATCTTATCTTGTGGTGAGGATGTGCGTGGGCATTGCTCATACCAGAGAGGTTTGTCGAAGGTGTCGAAGGTGACACAGTATGTGGCTAGGCACAGGGGTGCCGAAGGCAACACAAGACTTGCATGTCGCAGGGAAATGTGGCTAGGCACGATGGTGCCGAAGGCGATACAAAACTTGCGTGTCGCAAGGCAATGTGACTAGGCACGATGGTGCCGAA